GGGGGGGCACTCTGGGGGAGGGCCGTCCTGAAATCGCTCTGTACACGGACTCGTCTGAAGCCAACTGCACGGCGGCGCAGCCGGGCGCAGCCTGCCGCAAGGCTACCGTCTGACCCACTACCCTTTCCACTCCGCGGACCCATCTCTATCGCTCTTTCGCACTCGCCCCCCCCCTCTCTCTTTTTCTCGCACACACACATGCACAGCTCAGCACAGAGGTAGGGTAGTGATACTCACTGCCTGAAGGAGCCCCATCTCCGGTTGGGTAGGCTGTCCGGGTTGCTGAGGGGACAAAACAGAGAGAGTCACTACAACGTCACACTTTAGGGTCGCGGCTCGAGAGGCAAGTCTGGTCCTCACCTGGTCGGCGGCCTCCGCAGGCTCGTCCTCAGCCAGGTGCTCCTCCTGAGGCCTCCGTTCGGCGGGCTCCGGGTCGCGTCACTACAAGCATAAAATCAATAATACACGTGCAACGTAAGCGTTGCAGTCACGGCAATAACAAAAGAGAAGACGGCCAACAACCACACAAAAGCAAACAACACCTGCTCACAGAGCCCCATAAAATAAAAAGTGCAGGAATAACAACGTACCCGTGAAGGCGCCTCTGGACGGGCGAGTCGGGGTCCACCTCGCCCTCCCCGTAGCACTCGTAACTCTCGCCGTCGGACATACTGGAGCAGCGGCTGCAACAGAAACAAGACGCGGGTCATCGCGGTGGTCACGTCGGTCACGGCCGCGCACCGGGGTCGACGGCCAGCCCGCGAGCGGCCCACGCGTGTCGCAACGCAACAGACAGGTGAGCGCCCCGCGCGGGCGACTCCAATTTGGAAGAATTTGAACGAAAAGTAAGTGGCTTTGCGGCAATTTGGAGCGCGAGCACTGAGTGCAAGCAGGGTGGCCCATATACCACCGGCCGCGCGGCGGACACACGCGGGACACGACGCGGACCATCTTGCAAAACTCGCCCGTGGCCTCTGCGCTGCGCGGCTGCGGCGCGTGTCAAATGTCACACTCTCTCACGAGATCAACTCTACTTTTTTCTGCTCTTGCGCCTGTCTTTTTGTTTATCATTTCACTCCGCGGGGCCTGGCGCCGCCGCCGCCGCTGCTGCTTTAGTAGTTTTCTGCGGCGCATTCCAGGTCTCCGGCTGTTGCGCCAGGTCTATATGGCAGGCAGGCCAGGTAGGCTGCCGGCGCTCTCAGCACAGCCCCCCGCGCGCGGCTTTACGATACAAAGCCCGGGCTTCATACGCCTGGCACCTGCCAGCCCGCGGCACGCGAGGCGGAGCGTGGCGTCGCCGCGGGACCCGGAGTACACATATCGGCAGCGCACTCGGGCCGCGGCGCGGCGCGTCTGTCTGTCCGTCTGTCTGTCAGCTTTAGTAAACATTCCCACGATAATAATACACCCGCGTGGAACGGGCTGCACCTACGCCTGCCTGTCAGGCAACATCTGTAACACCCGTGCCGAGGGGGTTGCTTGGGGATCCTCCAGAAAGTACGTCTGTCATTCGCCGTTGCGAACCTGCCAAATACAGCACTTATAATGTAAGCAAGCTCTCAGAGCGCCTGATAGGTAGGCAACATCTTGTCCACAGTGCATACGTGTACTGTGGAGTGGCCTACCCCGAGTCTCGCAGGCGCCGAGCTTCCAAAAATTTGCCGAATTTGCTGAGTGACGAATGAATCTGAGAAAAACGGACGTACTTTCTGAACGATCCCTTAGTATGCAGGTGCAGCCTGCTCCACACAGATGTGTTCGTGACTTTCGCGGCGACTCTGCGGCTGAGCAACAGGCAGGCGAGCAGCCTCCCTGTTCCAGCAGGGCCGGAGCCAAAGGATGCCCACCCCAGGCGAAGTGTAACGCAAACCAACTTCCATTTGTCATCGGCCGTTAGCGCGCAGAGCTCGCCGCTGCTGCTGCTGCCTCGGGCCTACCCGGCGGCGACGGCGGTGCGGCGGGCGCAGCAGCCGCGAGCGGGAGCGGACGCCTCGGGAACAAAAGGGTGAATAAAGGAGGGAAAAAATGGAAGCCGATCCATCACCCCGCGGCCCGGGCCGGGATGCATATTGCAGACGTTTGGCGTGGCGTGGCGTAGCGGGGCGCATCTCCAGGCGCTCCGGCCGAGCTACTGGCTGCTGCTACTTCTTTCGCCTGCTTGAAGGGACATTTATCGCCATTTCCTGGCGCGCGGTTACCAAAGCAGGGGAGCGTTGTTATTCGCACCGGCGGTTACACAAAGGGCCGCGACGCCACCTCCCCCATCCCCCTTCTCCGATAGGCTCCGGTCGGTGCTATAACGGTACACCCCCCCCCCCACCCCGACAAATCATCATCCACTCCAAATGTTATTACTACTCCACTCCTGCGACGAATCGGTCGGAGAGCCGTGCAGCCGTGGCCATAACTGAATAGGTGAGGTGCCTCGTCCGCGACCCGCGCCCAAGGAAGGATCGACAGTGAAATTTCAGTGGATGTCTCGACAGCATGAAACATAGTGCAAAATCTCGTCTGGCAACGGAAGGACGATGAACTCAGAACTCGCTCTGAGGACCGGAAACTCAAAGTCAGTGTTAGAAACTTTCATGTATACGCCAGCCCCCGTTTCCTCTCCATATGTGCAAGTGCAGGAGGTTACAAAAAAAGCTAAGGCTAAATTGCAGACCGTTTTCTTTTGACACCGGTGCCAGTGGCCATTGCATTTTATACTTTCCAACAGCGAATGTCCCACATAGGACTCGAGATATTCAGAGTGTCCTGCTTGGTCTGCCGCGCTCCCGCTTAGCAATAACTCTTGAAAGGACGTGGAAAAACTCTTCCTCCCACCTGGACCCTTCTGATTTCGCTTTGAAATACCCACACCTTCCTCGGGTGGGTCGGGTTCCTCGTTGTCTAAACGCGGACGTCTCTCTAGCCCCGGCAGCAAGAAGGAACCGCAAAGCCACGCCACGCCATACGCCACCACGGCGACGCCCTCTGGCATCTCGCGCGCGGCGAAAACCCTATACACGAGGAAATGTAATTCACACCGCAATCAGCGAGCGTTGACTTTCTACTCGCGTCGCGTCGGGCGGGCGCCGGGCCTGGCCGGCGCGGGCGGGCGGGGGAGGAGTCCGTTACGTACCTGTTGTTGCCCTTGTCCGTGGACGTGGAGCCGCCCAGGGCGGAGTCCGTGTCGAGGGGCGGCTCGTCCTGGTCCGCCGTCAGCACGAAGCTGGGCGCGGCCGGGGCCTGGGGGCCGGCCTGCTGGGCGGCGACCTGGGGCCCGGCCCGGGAGACGGAGGCCGCCATGGAGGCCACGCTGGGAGCCATCATGGCCCCGCCGTCTGCAACACACGAGAAACGCCGGCACGTGAGAGCTCTGCAGGGGGGCGACAAAGTAATGCAAGAGTACAATTCGATGAGCCGCCGCGTCGCGGATCATTAGAACTTCATCGGCAGGAGCTCCGCCAGAGGGAGGCCACCGACACCGGCGCCGGGGTCAAGGGTGCCGGCGCGCGCGGGGGGTCAGTCATTGTTGGGCAAGGAGGGTGCTGTTGCAGCAAGAGGCGTGCGGCTGCGCACCGCCAGGGAGGCTGTGGGCTCAGGTGGTGGGGGAGAGCAGCGAAGGGTACTTAACTAGGAATTACACATTTGATTTAGTTTTCCAATTTGGATTTTTTTCTGATTTTTTCTATTTTTTTGTTTTAAATCTTTGTGTCTTTATTTTCGTTTTGATTTTTTCCTTATTATTTTTTGGAGGGTGTACTCTGATCTTTTCGAGTATAAAGTCCCTACCCCCTCTATGAGCACCCGCCCCGCCAGCCCTCCCCACGCCGTACTGGTAGGCGTACACCACGCCACCACGCCGCTCCCCCATTTCCGGCTCATTGTAGGTGAACACGGCTAATGTCTCCGTCCGCGGGCCGCAGACGGCGCAGAGTCACGACCCGCGCCCCGCCAGGCACCGCGGGCACCACCGCCGGGCACCGCCGGGCACCGGGGGTCTTATGTCATCATGCTAATGCAGCCGCCACCCTATTAGGGTCGCCGAGCGCCGAGCGCGGGGGAAGGGCTACTAATTAGAGGCGAGGAAATGTCAAGAGGAGACGCGGACGTTAGAGCCGCGCATCGCCATCGCCGGTGGCCACACCACACACAGAGGATGCTGCTGCTGCTAAGGCTGGACACCTGGAACAAGACTCCCGGTTGACTGACCACGGATATGGGGTTCCACTCCAACCGCGGCCACACATGCATGGTGATGGCGTGCTGCTAATGGACTCTCTAGGTTGGACTCTTCTAGACAACAAACTGTGAGGACGGAGTCACAGGCGCGAGCCTGGCCGGGCGCCTCTCCGTGCGGCTGGAGTCCTCCACGCGGGCGCTACTGCTGCTAGACCCGCCGCCGCCGTATGGGTGCTGCTGGGTCGTTCTGTCGTTCTTGAAGGTGCTAAAGTCCGCCGCCACTTGAGCGTTCGGTGGCTGTAGCAGCGGGGCTGGGGCCCCTCCTGTCGCCTGGTGGCGGCCGCGCCGCACCGCGCGCCAGCACGATGGGCGGCCTACCATCCCGGCGCCGTGCTGCTACGCTTGCACGCTCGCTCTCCTCCATTCCCCTCCCCATCCAGCGCCGACGACTGCGGTCTCCCCTTCCCCGACGTTTCAATCCGCTCGCAGCGGCGGCGCGTCCTCCACGGGCCGCGCGCGGCGCGGTCTGGTCTTCCCCGTGCCACTGCCGTGTACAGCGTACACTGCGCGAAGCGGGACAGAAAAGGAACATACAGTGCCAGGCGACGTTGGCACAACACAGGCCCCCCGTCTCCGCGCCAAGGCGTTCCGCGCTCCGTATTCCGCCGACACTGTCGCAGCGCCGCAGACCTCTCTTTGAGTTTGAGTCCGTGCTCTGGCGGGCGTATTCTGTATTCCGCTGAGACTGCCACCAGACCTCTCCTTGTGTCCGCACGCTCTGGAGGGACGACACCGAGGCACCTGGAGACCCCTGAAGCCTGGACGATGAAGAGCAGGAGAAGTGAGACCGCTAGGGTCGCCTGACCTGCTGCTGCGCTGCTATGTGATCGTTGACCGGTTCCCTGGAGTTTCGGCGATGCCCGCGGGTCTCATAACGCGTCGTGACGTAAGGAATGAGCAGCTGGATGAGGACCCCCCCCCCTCCTGTATTCTATGATTAAAAAGACCGTCCCAAACTGCGCAGTTCGGGGCGCGACAGACAGACCCATCACATCGCCGGGCGGAAGAAAGCCGCCCGGGTGAGGGAGGGGCAAGGTGACGCGCAGCATCGCGTCGCGGCGGCGCCGGACCTGGCACGGGCTGGCACCGCGCGGCACCGCGACCAGCCCGCGACCTACGACAACCAACGTTTATGCGCTGGGTTCGGCCGAGATGCTGAGATTCTCTCTTTCTCTCTCTCTCTCTCTCTCTCTCTCTCTCTCTCTCTCTCTCTCTCTCTCTCTCTCGTACTCGTGTCATTTATTCTCTCTCACCACTCACCCCCCCCTCCCTTTCTCTTCGCGTTCAACTCATCAAAATGTTTGCAATTCCTACGGTTAACCAGCAGTAAGCACTGCTTGACGGTTTCTGTCAAAATGAATAAGCAATGAAAAAAAAATTAAAACCTGTACACCACACATGTGTTTGCTTATTATTATATTTTTTTATTGTCGAAGCTAGAAAGAATGTTTTCATCTCTCTTGGTCTCTGGACACAATTTAAAGCTAAAAGTGAATCCATCATTAGATAATTAAAACCCAAAGCCGATGAAGCAATTTAATTCAAATTCTTCGCATTGCATTACAAAGCCACGCACGTTTCAGCAGAAAACTTTAACTTGACATCTTTTTCTTGTGATGCCGTCAAATAATCTGGCCTATACAGTCACTTGTCAGACGACTCCCTGCCTGTGTGAGTTTTCATGTGAATCCGCATATTGCCACTCAAGGCGAATTTCCGTTGACACACAGTGCACTCGAATGGCTTTTCGCCAGTGTGTATTCGCAAATGTTTTCGCAGATCATTAGATGCAGTAAACCTCCTGTGGCACACGGTGCACTCGAATGGCTTTTCACCGGAATGGGTTTGGAGGTGTTGCTTCAGATTGCAACTAACAGAGAACTTCTTATCGCACACGTTACACGCGTACGGCTTTTCTCCTGTATGGGTTCGCATGTGATATCGCCGTTGGCCGGACTCACAAAAGGCCTTGTCACATTCACTGCATTTATATGGCTTTTCGCCAGTGTGAGTTCTCATGTGCTTCCGCAAATTGCTATTAGAGGAGAATTTCCGTTCACACACAGGACACTCAAATGGCATCTCGCCCGTGTGAGTTCGCAAGTGGGTCTGCAGCGAACCCATTAAAGCAAACCATTTGTGACACACAGAGCACTCGTAAGGTTTCTCGCCTGAATGGGTTACCATATGACTCTTAACCGAAGATGACGTAGAAAACATCCTGTGACACACGAGGCACTCGTGTGGTTTATCACCCACGTGGATTCGCAAATGTAGCCGCAGGCTGCTACTTTGACTGAAAGCCTTTTGGCAAACGGTGCATTTGAACGGCTTTTCTCCTGTATGGGTCCGCTGATGCACTACCAATAATTGAAGCGAAGAAAATTTTGAGTCACATTCGCTGCACTTGAATGCCTTCTCGTCCGAATGCGTGCGCACATGCGCACGCAAACCAGCACTTTGCGAGAACTTCTTTCGGCATACACTACACTCGTATGGCTTTTCCCCTGTGTGTGTTCGCATGTGAACTCGGAGAGAGTGCGGCGCTGTAAACTTCCTGTGACACACGACACACTCGTGTGGCTTTTCGCCGGTATGCGTTCGCAAATGTATCTGTAAACCAGTACTTGAATAGTACTGCTTGTGGCACACAGTGCACTCCAGCGGCTCTCTTTCTGTGTCGTGGACTTGCACATGCCTCCGTAAATCTTTAGAAGAATCGAACCTCTTGAGACACGTGGTGCACTCGAATGGCTTTTCTCCTGTATGCGTTCGGCGCATATGTCCCCGCAGAGAGTCACCATTACTAAACGTCTTTTGGCAAACGGCGCACTCGATGGCCTTCTCGCCCGTGTCGTGAGTTCGCATATGCTTTCGCAGATAGTCATCTTGACCGAACGTCTTCTGGCATACGGTGCACTCGTATGGCTTCTCGCCCGTGTGAGTTCGCATATGCGTCCGCAAATTGACACCTTGATTGAACGTCTTCTGGCACACGGCGCACTCGAATGGCTTCTCGCCCGTGTGAGTTCGCATATGCGTCCGCAAATTGACACCTTGATTGAACGTCTTCTGGCACACGGTGCACTCGAATGGCTTCTCGCCCGTGTGCGTCCTCGTGTGGATCAAGAGCTTTCCCTGAGACGGGAACGTCTTCTCGCAAATGAAGCACCTCGCAGGCATTGTCGTGCTTGGTAAACGCGGCGGAGACGGACGCTACAAGCCTGGCGAACAAAAAGAACAGTCGTTTTAGACACATCAAACTGCGCCAGGGCGGAACTAGAGAGGTGGATATTCCAGGGCCCAAAGGACACGGGGCAGGTCACGACAAAATATTACCCCACTCCACACTCCCACCACACCAGTTTTCATACGATGAAAATCTCATTTTAGAACAAAACTGTCATCGTACTTCTAACTTATCCACCACATTTTCTTGTACACGCACTGTTTCTGTTTTTTGCCACCCCGCTTTGTACACCAGACAACCTGGGCCCCACGGGCCCACGGGGTGTTCGTTAAAGTGACGCAATGGCAAAGACAGTCAGGGAACTGGGCAGCAGACGTCACCACCACAACCACACCGCGAGGAAGTGGGAAAGGGGCGTGGCAAGGTGGGGGGAAGGGGGTCCCCCGCAACCACTTTCACGCTTACAGGAGGGGACCTCGTGTTTCCGAATTACCTAGCCGGGCCGGCCGGCGGGGGTCGGGTCCGCCTGGGGCAGGCTAATTGGCTGCAGCAGCACGGCCAGGACACGGCCAGGACACGGACAGACCGCGGCCAGCGCGGAGGAGACGAGCGGCTCCCACGGCGGCCGCGGCGGACGCAGAGCGGCGCGCGGTGCGGTGCGTTCCGGTGCGTTCTCATCGCATCGCATTCCGGAGGGCGAGGGGTAGCGCCGCAGACGCATCGCTATTTGCCGGAGTCCGGGCCGGGGCCGGGCCGGCCCACCACCACCGTGGGACTGCGGCCGCGAGCACAAGCCTGGAATCCAACAGCACCAGCAACAGCAACAGCAGCTGTCGTGTACACTCCGGCGCTCTGGCCCCTCCCGCTCCACCGCGCCGTCAACGACCCCAGCTGCTATATGAGGAAGTTGCCCAATAAGAGGAACAAAAAGAAGGTAGCACTGAGGAGGTGGCGTGGCGTAGCGCCGTCCCTAAACAAAGCAGAACGCCGGTGACGCCGGCGACCATACTGTGTCTTATCGCAAGTGAATGTGTGATCATAAATCAAGTTTTGTAGAATTTGTAAAGAAAAATTGGGTCCGTATTAGACCGGCGTAGCAACATGGTGTCGAAAAGTGCTTCTGCAAAGTTTGGCTTCGGAAAAGTAAGTTTATACAATCTTCTAAACCGTCCCGGTGTCGTTGTTTAGGTTAGTGTACGGACATATTACATTGGTACAGTTTTAACTCAATGATAATGACTCAACTGTGGTAATAAACTTTGGTATAGGTGGTACCAATGTGCTAGATCCATAGGCCCGTTCTAAACTGATTGAAATCTAACGACACGCATCCTAACCTCTGCTAGACTGTCGCTCATCTTCTGCCTTGTTTAGGGACGGCGCTACGCCACGCCACCTGCTCAGTGCTACCTTCTTCTTGTTCCTCTTATCGGGCAACTTCCTCATACGCGAGGCGGCGCCGCGGCACACTACTGTATGGCTGCGCGGTGCACAGCTCCTCCCACGAGGCCGAGGCCGGGTCAGGTGTGTGCGGTGGGGGGCAGGGACAGCCCCCGTCCCCACAGCGGCCAGCGGCCGAGGCCGTGGCGCAGGGGAGGGCTTCAGCAGGGGAAGCCTCAGGGTCTGGTGGGACCCCGAGTCAACGTCAACGTCGGCCACGTGGCCGTTTAGCGAGGCGCGAGTCCGGCCACAGCGCGGAGCGCGGGGAGCGACATCAACACCGTGATAGAAGTGTCGTACCCGGTTGTACCGCAGGCGGTACCAGGCCGCGCCGGGTCGCAGCAACAACTGGAAGTTGAAAGTGCAAAAGCACCAGACGGGGGGAGGGGCAAGGGGAGGGGGCGGGGTGTCTACAGCGCACCTGCCGCCTCCGCGGGGAGTGTTCACCCCGCCACACCACACCGCGCCACGCCACGTCACCGCAGCGCTCGGGCTAAAGTCATTACCCGTGAAAACGAAAGGCAAAGCAAAGGCGCGAGGTACCCGGCGGTGGCAGCCGAGCAGCCGAGCAGCCGCGGCGGCGCGAACGAAACCCCGCCTCCTCGCTCACCCCCTTGTCGACCACCCAGCGGGAACCCGCGACAGGCCCGGCACTGGAGCACCTAGCGTGAGGCTCGCCGCCTGGGCGTACCGCCACAGCGAGTACACACACACACACATTAGCGATACAATTCGAATCAGGTTGAACTCGCGACCCACCCGTTCTCGACGTCTGCGTGCTGCTCTCCTCCACGGCGACCCGCGGTGCCGCTGCAGTGTGGGCGAGACAGAGGATTGGGGGAGGGGGGCGGGGCTATCAGCAGTACATGAAGCGAGATGTGGGTCGCACTCGCGGCTGTTTGCACGGGCGTGTTGCCTAGGAGGAGGTGCGGAGAAGTAGGAGAAGCAGGCCGCCACCACCCGGTAAATAGACCGACGCGTTCAGCGTAACCCGAGCCCCTCCCCCGCGGGTCGCGAGACGACGGGTATACGATCCAAACGAGGTCGCCGATACGCGCCCCCATGTCGACCGGCGGGGTCCCCGACGACGCGCGGCACGCCATACGCCATGCCGCGCCGCCGCCGCGCCACCGCGCCGCGGTTTGGTCGAAGGACACCGAGTGTTGCCGGGGCGTCGCGGGGCGCACCGCAAAAGTGGCCCCACGTACCTGTGCGGCGGGCGGGGGGAAGGGCTCCGCCTCGACTGCCTCTTTGTGGCCCCTGCACGCGACCTTCCGTGGCCTGGCCCTTCCTCCACCCCGCGTGGGCCCTACAGGCGAAAGGGTTTCCATACGTGCCAATTCCAAGCGGCAGCCCCGGCCCGGCGCGGGTTCAGACAGACCACAACCACACACGCGCAACTAGACCGCGGTATCCGCATCCCTTGCCCCTTTTGCTTGCAGTGCCAGTTTCTCAAATATATATTTTTTTTGTCGGTTCGTTTTTCGTTTGGTTTTTCACTCCACCCACCCATACTGTGTGGTCAACCGCAACGAATCGGGAACGCGTTGGGGAGGGCCTAAGCGGCGGCCGGACAACGGGCCTAACGTTATCACGGCGTGACATTCGCTGTTTGTCTCACCTGGTCACCGCTGGTCACCAGCGGCCAGGCGTGGCGCGCCAGTTTCCATCGTGTTTTCTTTTTTTCGAGGTGTTGTTAATGTTGACGAGTTTATGTCGTCATGCAGCTGGCTGCTACTTTTGTATTCATTTGCGAAATACACACACCATAACATCCAAGTCTTAACAGTAAAAGCGAGAGCTCCATATCCAATAAGCCAGAGCTGAGGTTTCCCAACAGCCGGCCTATTTCGTTTCTCACGCAAAAATGCTGTTTCTAAAACCAAGAAATGTTAAGTCCTCCATCGATGGCGCCATGGCGCCAAATACAAACGACAGTGGAGAAATGGTGTAGCACAAATTAGAATACACAACTAGCTACAAATTGAACAGTCACTATCGTAGCGGAGGGCACTTGCCCAGCAGGCGATCGTTCCGCTGGACGACATGCAAATAACGCATTGCTTCACTCTTGACTCCACGGTGTGCCGCGCCCCCGCCACGCCCCGTGGGAAAGGGCCCGGGGGCGAGGGTCTGGAGGGGGGGG